GTGTCTAATCTTCAAAGTTCCCAAAATCATTATGGGGCGCCTGGGTGGCTCAGTCAGTTAAGCGTCCGACTTCGGCTCAGCTCACGATCTCGCGGTCCGTGAGTTCGAGCCCCGCGTCGGGCTCTGGGCTGATGGCTCAGAGCCTGGAGCCTGCTTCCGATTCTGTGTCTCCCTCTCTCTCTACTCCTCCCCCGTTCATGCTCTGTCTCTCTCTGTCTCAAAAATAAACGTTAAAAAACAAACAAAAAATTAAAGTTCCACAGGTGATTCTACAAGCAGTCTTGGTTGAAAACCACAAAAACCACCACATGACCAGCCTGTTCTGTATGGTGTTTCTGAGTGATGCCAAGGGGTAGGGAGTAGGAGAAAGCACAATTTTTCCTCCTGTTAACTGTCTCCAAACATGTTAATTGGTATAATAAGTTCTATAAATTTATCTACTTTTCTTTGTAAATTGTAGTGTACCTTTTGGCTTTTGAGCTTTAGGAGTGCCCCTAGCATAGTATTCCAGAACATGATAAGTAATTCTAGGCTCTTATCTTTATTCTTCATGATTCTATAGGTACTCATTTGAACAAGGAAATTGCTACTTTCTGCCCCCCTTCTTCCTCCCAACAGAGATGCTTCATGTTGGTGTTCACTAATAGGAATTTGTGATAGCCTTAGGAGATAGAATTTTATGGCTGTTAAGTCTGACACTGATTAGATACCTCTATCTTGTCTACAATTCTAAAATGCAGTTTTTTAGTGATTGTGTTTTATCTGAATAGAGTTACAGAATCCCTCCATTTCTTTCAATACATTTGACTTTACAGAAAGGATGGGAGTTAGGTGATCTTGGCTCTGTGTCATCCTCTACTGAAGCACAGCTTTGGCTCATTTCCTTAAACAAGTCATCTAACCTCTGGGTTCTTAGTCATGTAAAGATAATAAAAACCAGCCTACTTCTTAAAGGTTTTCGGGAAAATAAAGTGAGGGAGCGTGTTCATATTTTGGTGGGATGCATAGTTTTAAAACTGGACACTATAGATGCTAAACTAAAGGGCAGTTCTTTTCCTTCAGATAATCTGATAGTGGAGGAAGCGGTGCAGGAGCTGAATTCCTTCCTTGCTCAAGAGAATATGAGGCTACAGGAATTGACAGACCTCCTTCAGGAGAAGCATCGCACCATGTCTCAGGAGGTACTTGACCAGAAAGGACAGATGGTAGTTTCTAGTGGCCTGTGGCACACATTAACTCGGAATTTTGAATGCTTCAAAGGTTCATCTGACTCTAGAAAGCCTATTTTTATATTGAAGAGCATGAAGGGCAGGCCAAAGCAACCAGTTCTGAGAAATCAAGAGGAAAGATTAAGGGGAGAAAACAATTGAATACTTCTTGATTGTGCCTCTGTTAAACAGATACTACAGTGTTCGTTTTTAAGAAGAAATACCATCATATGAGGTTTTGTGAAACAATGCACCAAATTCCCAAATAACGAATTACCCCAAATAAAAAAGATCATGTGCAATGTTACTGAGGAATGGGTTGGTAGAAATTCATCTGAGAATGGACAGTACGAACTACTATATTGATGGTATCCTGGGAGCTTGAGAAATGTGGATTTTCCAGCCAAACTTGGGTACGCGTAGTGCCACGACCAAACTGTGTCAAGATTTGGGTATTTATTTGTGTGTGTGTGTGTGCGCATGTGCATACACACACACACACACACACACACACACACACACACACACACACACACACACACAGTGATTGAGGTAAAGTGATAAAAGGCCTTAAAAGATTTTTCTGCCAGTCCTGATTATCATTTTGGTTTAGTTCAAAGGATATTCTGCTGAAATTTGACCTACTTTAGTTTGACCACCCAATTCTTTCGCTTATTGGTAGGTTAGTGGTTACCATCTCCTTAGTGACTAGCACTTAAGCACTTGATGAAGTATTATCTCTGATGGTCAGACAACTCCTATCTTGCTCTTCAGGGAAAAAATTCAAGGAGGTTGGTAACTGTTCTGAGCACACAGACTAAAAGTAATTGAACTGTGATTCGGATGTAGGTCTGTTTTACTTCAGAGCCCGTGTTCTTTATTATGCCCTTGTTTTGTAAACTCCATTGCCAGGGTCCATGCTGGCTGCTTGTATGAGAATCGTCTGGGAAGTTTATCGATACGTGTAGATCCTCATCAGCCTTCAAAAGGGTTAGAGTATAGCAGTGCTTATAAATTAGATTGGAGTGTAGTGGAGAAATAGAATAACTTTCTGTCATGTTTAAGGTATAAACTAGGTACAACCAAAACGAGAAGGTCCACCTCTTCTGGCCCTTTACCAATCTCGTTTAGCATTACTAAGCTGGAGAGAGACAGTGCTTTGCTCAACTGAGCTGATGTCCACAGTGGCTCTTGTGGCTGGCTGCTATTACCTGCCAGCTGGGTGGGAGCCCACCTTAGGTTCTTCACTGGAACATCTGCATGTTGCCTCTCCCATGTGGCAGTTTCAGGGTAGTGGGTCTTCTTACATGGCAGCTGTCTTCTTCCAGAGAATGAATGTCCCAAGAACATAAAGCAGAACCTGCATGGCCTTTCAGATGTAGCCTCTGCATCATTTTCATTGGGTCACTAAAGTTGACCCAGATTCACGGGGAGGAGGCAGTGCCACCACCTCTTGATGGGAGGAATATCAAAGATTTTGGGGGACATACTTTTCAACCAGTACAAAGATTATGTGTAGATTAATGTGAGCATGTGATAGCATTGTAATTAAAGTATTAAATAGCGTTAGCTGTGGGAATGCAAGCTGGTGCAGCCACTCTGGAAAACAGTATGAAGATTCCTCAAAAAACTAAAAATAGAACTACCCTATGACCCAGCAGTTGCACTGCTAGGTATTTATCCAGGGGATACAGGTGTACTCTTTCGAAGGGACACATGCACCCCCAATGTTTATAGCAGCACTATCAACAATAGCCAAAGTATAGAAAGAGCCCAAATGTCCATCGATGGGTGAATGGATAAAGATGTGGTGTGTATATATATATATATA